GGTGTTTATTATTATTATTTTTTTTACTGTTGGGGGGCTTTGGGGAAATATTAGGGGTCTAAATCCCTGACATTTCCTTTTTGAAATAGAAAAAGAAATTGAGGACACAGAGCCTTCAATCTCTTTTTCTGCAGCCTCTAAATGAATGGAAAGCACTAAGTACAGAGGCTTCCCATTCGTTCAGAAACTGGTGATAGTAAAATATTTACTATTATCCAGTTATGAATAGGGAGAAGCCTCTGTACTGAGTTCTACTACCCATTCAGAAATTCATGAATGAACAGGAAGTGATGTAAAGCACTTCGTGTTCATTCATAACTATTGTTTACAAACACTGGAGTGATCACCTGATGGCTGAGCGGTGAGAGCTGCCGGCTGGATGACAGCTCCCTCCTCCGCCCCCCGGCCGGCTGCTCCGCTCCTTTTCTCATCAGATCCCTGCTGCCTCTGCCCATACAGGCGGGGGAGAGCAGCGGAGATCCGAGGAGAAACTGGAGCCTGTGCTGCCCCTCTTCTCCCTGCCAAGTCACAGCTGTGTTGGCTGCCTGGTGCCCTGTTACCATGGCGCTTAGTGCTCGCCATGGCCACAGAGGCAAGGGGGCGCAAGCCAGGTTCGGCTCATAGTAGCTAATCTCTGAATTGGTGTTGACACTGTCCTTCCTTCTGGAGAGTGGCTACTTTTGTTCCCCATGGTCCCTGTGTGTGTTGTAAAGTAGCCACCACTTCGAGCTCACTCCCATGTCAGACTATAATCTCAGTACAAAGTAGTAAACTAAACATGAGCTTGTAGTCCATCACAGGAGTGAGTGTGGAGCGGTGACTACTTTACAACACATGTCTGTACACAGTTCTCTGCTCAGATAAGGGTTGATTCAGCCTGCCACTGGCCTATGTACAGAGCCTGCCACTGGTCTTTGAAGCATGTACTGACCCTGTACATGCCTGCTTCTATTTGCTTAGATTTAAGTGTATTGTATGTAGGGAATGCAATATGGATCAACGATCTCATCATAACGCTGTACATATCAATAAAGATGCGGGCTTGCACACCTCAGGTGAAACTCTAGTAATTACAGAGGATACAACTGCTATTCACATTACATATGGGAAAACACATGTTCAGACATCCCAACCTGAAAAAAAATAATTTTTCCTAGTCCCCACTATCCGCAGTGGGGAGGGCGGGGGATAGGGGAGAGGGCACCTCCCTGAAAGGATGACAGATAGCAGGGGAGCTAATGCTTCTCTTGCTATTAGCTGTTTTTTGTTTGTATTCTGACAGCTGCTTCCGTCAGAATAAAAAAAACAAAACAACAGACTGCATGGGAATGAATAGCTGGGCTGTTATTGGCTTTTTCAATTTGCAATAGCCAATAGCAGGCTGGCTATTGCACCCTCCCCTTGCTGCTGTCAATCAGCAGAGGGGGACCTGAAGGAAAATGTCAGGTCCACGTCTGCTGATTGACAGCAGCAGTAGGTGGGTACAAGGTGGGTTCTTCAGTTATTATAAAAAAGACCCCACAAGCCTTTGATAAATGTAAAAATTTCACTTTTTTATCTCTATTTTCCTGAATTTCTGCAAACACATTAAAACACAAATATAGCATGTGTAACAAATGTACTCACATCATTTTTGTTAAAGTATTTTAGGGCTCCTTCCCGTTCTGACAGTACAAATTTTCTGCTGAGGAATTGTCCATTGTCACGTCCCCTCTTCCAGAGCAATCCTTCTCTGTAACCTACATGGGAAAAATGAGACGTCAGCTCCTCCATCTTGTAATCAATCATTGCTTTATTAGTATGCCAGACATCGCAATGCATCTGCCAAAGATGTCTTTACTGAGGAAAGCACCATTACAGTATTTGTGTACTCTAAAGGGAACTTGTCAGGATAGAAATATAGTATCTCTCCGGTTGCTATATTAGAGTATTTGACATCGATATTAAGATTTAAAAAAAAAAAAACATGCTTAAATGGTACAAGCACTGTGTAATACAGTTTTTACACTTGTGGATATTTGGTTTACATGTACATGTATACTTCTATTTCAAGGGGAAGTAGAGAGTGCAGCACCCTTTGGGCCCATAAGAACAGGGGACCCAGATGGCATATTTACCTTTTACTTTTCCACTGTATACTGTGTTAGTTTCTGTACAGAATAAAGCACATTAATCTAAAAGAAAAAATGACGTCCCATCTAAAGCTCGGTAAAAAAACGAAACTGTAGAATGGCGCAATGTTCCAACATGAAATTAGATCCGGTATAAATGCCGATTTGATGGTCCCGATGGTCCGGAGCTCCTCACATGTGCGACTCGCTCTGCAGGCGCCGGAACCGGAAGTATGAAATTAGATTTTAACTATAGAGCTGATTATAACACTTAAAATTACATTAAAGTCACACATTTTTCGTCCCTGGCCCATGCTGCTTTAAAAGGAGAAGTATGAGGTGAGTGATTTTCACTCATCCTCATAGTTAGAGACGACGTGCAACAATGAAACTGTCACAGGTCGGCTCTATTGATCGGGAAGTGAGCTCACTTTCTGATCAAGTCCCTGCAGAGAGCGGTGGCTGTCAGTCACCGTTCCCCACAGGGATTCCCACCTGAGTGGAGTAGCAGAAGGGGCGGGCACAGCTGGCTCTGCCTTTAGATAGGCAGAGCCCGCTGTCAATCAGCCAACGGGGTGGATCTCGACAGTATTGTCGGGATCCGTCCGGCTGCAGTGCTCTCAGTATACACTGAGCTTTGGGTCATGGGAGGACCCTTAAGAGAACTATGGGATAAAAAGGTTACCCCATAGTTCTCTTTTAAGGACTTACCTTAAATGCCTCTTGATCCGATCATCTTCTTCCTTCCACTTGTATTGAGAAGTCCCTGCAGCACTGGTGCCGCTCTCTGATCCAGCGTAGACTCCTCGTGACCCACAGTGTCTATCCGGCTGCGTGCATTCACCTCTGCTGTGTCTCTCCTCTTCTCCCTGCCGAAGATCTCTACTGCGCATGTGCCCATCCCATCATCCTGCTCGGCTGCTCGAGAAGCTCCAGATCTTCAGACAGCGAGCCGCGGTGACAAAGGTAAGTAATTACCTTTTTGGTAACTTTTTATTTTTTTTTAATGTTTTTGCATACATCTACTTGCTTGTGAAATGCCAATATGTTTGTTATTTGTTCCCATTCACACAATGTACCTAAAAATTATTTTAAAAAAATATTTCTTAGCTTTGCTGTTGTTTCTTTGGAGCAGGTTTATATATCCATTGCTTTGGGCAACTTCTATTTTTTTAAAATAGATGGCAATATGCAGAAAAAAGAACTGACTTGAGGAATTTTTTTTAAAGCGCATTAACATACATTGTACTACCCAAGCCATGAGATTTTCAAACCATTTGTTAGGACAGACAGTCTTGCACAACTAATAGACAGGATTTATTATGGCATATATAATGGTGAAAATAAAGGAAAACAAACTTAATGCAGCCACTGCATCTAAGCACTAATAAGCTGCAATATATTACATATTTCTTCTTGTGTTTTGGTACACCGTAAGGGCATTTTTCTAAATACAAGCATTCTGTGATTGGACAGGGGGAGAGGGGTGGTGGATAGATCTCTCCTTTGTCCATTCACAGAACCCCTTGTATTCCATAAGAAGAACACAAGGCATTTTGTGAATGGATGAGGGGGGATTGGAGGAGAATGAATGTCATGATCCCGACATTGGGCTATAACCAGACCTCTAAGTCACAGTGCCAGAAGAAGAGTGCTGCGACCGCATGAATAAAAGTGTAATTTGTACATTGCAGCACTGAGGATATAGAATGTGCCTTATGTATTTGTTCATAGCTTATTATATTTGTAGATAAGGGCAGCCATATTTATTCATTACAAACACAGGCTCTGCAGACTCATTGAAAACCGTGCACTCCCGCCTTGGCTTACATTTTAACTACTGTTAGGCCCATGTCACATTGGCAATTTTGTAGCAGTGATTTACAGCAGCTAAAGTATCACTTTTCTTTTCTGTGGGTAGGAAAAATGCTTTGCAGTCAATGAATGGTCTGTGTCGTAGAAATTCAAAGCTCAAAAGCTCAGCAATGGACTTTTTTTGCAGCAAATGGAGCTAGCTACGAAATTGCTGGCTTCAATACAGCTGCTGATGACCATGGCACTCCAGTGACATGTAGGTGCATAGATAAGCATTGTAACTCCATCCAGCTAGAAATCCCTACAGAAAACCAGCAGAGAAATGTGTAGCTGATGTAGTGTGACATGGTCCTTAAAGTGTATGTTAGGGCAAAAAACAAAACATATGCAGTACATCTCTGCACATTACCCATGTTTTGTCCCTTTAAAGACCCTACAGTACAGTAAATACCTGTTGCAGTGCCAGAAATGCACTCATCTCCTAAGTCCTGTTGTGGGCTGACAGCACTCAGCCTAAGTTTAAGAGATAATTTGCAATAGCCTGCATTGGGTTGTTGCCCATCATCATGGCTCTGTCTGCTGCTGTACTGAACTAGCCTGGCAGCGAAATTGCCAACACAGAAAATCCTGGGCAGCCCCTGAGCCCTGGCACTGAGCACAGCACAGCAGGCAATCTGCACAAGGCATATTTATTGCTGCACGTTAGTGACAGTGCCAAGACAAGCAGGACATCTATTTCTCTCTTTCTGTCTGGAATATGGAGCCTCTTCTTCACCTGACTGCAAACGAGTCAATAACATGGATGGCAGCAGTTTAAAGTGGATATGGGATTATAGCGGCTTGCTGAATCCTCATAAAATAATTGCTTACAAACCTGTAATATTCAGCTGTATTCATGTGGGATTTGCCTTTTGAATGCAAACCAGCTGAAACTTGCTGTGTGTCCTCAAAAAATTGCTCAGAAATTCAGCAAATAATTATAACACTGCTAGTCACTTACTATTTTTTTTTTAAGTGTACCTGGCAATCTAAATGGATCAATTCACCCAAAACTAATATTTCAGTGGCCTCAGATAATCACCCAATGACTTGTCAGGGACTCTGCTGGTACTGTCATACCATAAGAAGTCACAGGTTTGTCCCCATCATATTCCAGAATTTAACTCTGTATGCCGCGGGGGAACTCTGATCAGGACTTCTCACTAATAACAGGGACATATCAGAATAGAAATAATGCTGCCATTGGTACATTTTGCAATCTGCATAGCTGTGCAATCTGGAGCTGTCATCTTTATCCTCACTTTTTCAACAGGTGAGTCCCTGCACTGGAACAAATACAGGAGTATAGTCTGCATACAGTACGTGTTTTTAGGGTCAGTGACTCACAAGGCAGTAAAGGAAAGACAACGGATGACCACCAGAGCCTTGTACCTTTCAAGTCAACCACGGCAGCTGCCTTACTTTTTTATCCTCACAGTTTCTCTATAGGACCCCAAGGTACAAAAGAAGGTGGCCAGTGATCAAATTAAATACAGGGCAGAACTGGATCTTCCACAAAGGAATGTAGGCAGGAGCCTAGGGCTCAGTGGGTGCACAGTGGACCCAGCTACAACCTTCATGTGTCTGCAGTATACCAGGAGCACAACTGATGAAAGCTGTGCACCTGTAGGCAGCTAGTGTCGCCTCAATAATCTGCAAGTACCTATAGTGGCCAACATAACAACCTACTGGGGCTTCTTGTTCCCAAGCCTTCAAGACTATACACCAGTGTCCCCATATTCACATCTACTGTACTGTATGCTCCAAAATCATAAGGAAAGCATATATTTTGCACTAAACTGTCATTCTACTGTATATACTCTATATGTCCCATTCTAATTACATATGGTAAAAGTCAATTCAAGCACAGTATGTTTACCTCTGCAAATTTACAATAAAATTAGGGATGCACTGATACCAAGTACCGTACTCAGGACAAGTACAAGTACAGATACTTTTCCAGGTCCAAGACTAGACTAGAGAAAAAAATCAAAAGTTAGGAGGCAGCTGCCACTTTTAAGGAGCACACGGAGCTCCTAGGATTTGCGCATCCCTGTTTTAATGTATGATTTGTTTATATTAGGATGCACCGATACCATTTTTGTACAAGTACTTGTCCAAATACTCACAGATACGAGTACTGATACATTTTTGTTTATTGTCATGTGACAGTTTTTCTAAAATAATACAGACTAATAATTCCAGGACAGTGGTGGAGTGCCAGAGCCCAGTCACAGCTGCAAGCGCTGCCACCCCGGTAGTTCTCGTGAAAATAGCAAGTAGCGGCACTGGTATCTGAACCTAATAAAAATATTTCATACCGTTCTCTGCTCCCATTGCAAGTTCTGAGTAGAGTAGTATGGAGCATAAAGAACAATGTAAACATTGAAGCAGAGGGAGTACCAAACATACAGTGCAGCATGCAGGTAGGAGCACTTGGGAGTACAGAACGTACAGCACAGTGTGCAGATTGGAGAGTATAGTATAGAATCGTATGCAGATTGGAACAGTGGGGAGTATAAAACATAATGCACGGTGTGCAGATTAAAGCAGTGGAAAGTATAAATGTACAGCACAATGTGAGGAATGGGGCATTGCAGAGTATAGAAAATACAGCACAGTGTTCAGATTGGAGCAAATGAAAGTATAGGACGCATAGTACAGTGTGCAGATTGAAGCAGTGGGGAGTATAAAGCGTAATCCAGTGTGCAGATTAAGGCAGTACAAAATATAAACGTACGGCACATTGTGGAGAAGGGGGCATTGGGAAGTAT